TCAGCATAATGATCATATCGTATATTGTTGATTTCCAAAGAAATAAAAAAGAAAAAAACGATCGATAAAACCAGTTTGAGATTTGGGGCTTTTTCACTAACTCTAACTTTGTTTTATATAGAAGCGGCTAGTTCTTCTGAGATCCTATTCTATTGTTATTTTCCCAACAATTATCATTGATCTGTTACAATCTAAAGAGACTAAATTGAAGCTTAATTGAAAAATAATAAAGCTTTGAATACATGCATTTGTCTTATATATGACTATACAAAATTGCTTACGAAACTAATAACAGTGAAAACAAGATCTGAGAATCACTCAAAGGAAAATAGGACAAGTGTTAAAGCATGAAAGAGATAAAGAGACTAAATTCGTTGATAGACGAAGACGTGTTAAAGCTCGTCGGCGGAAAGCATCCCGACCGGATCCTCAAGCCTTGAAAGAGGGAGAAAGGGAAAGAGGGAGATTGGGGCAATTTCAGTAATATTGTATAAGATATACAAAATATCATAGCCGCTTCCTATTATAGTTAGACAGTTAATTTATAAATTTTTGATGTTTATTTCGCCTAATTTCCCTTTTTTTAATATATATTTACATATATAAGAATCATTTTTTACCTTCTTGATAGTCATTTTTCCCCCAAAATCTTTAGACGAGGAAATAAAACAACATTAATCTGTTGATCTTGGCTCTTGTATCCTAGTGGTTGAGACATAATTATACAGTTTAGTATTCATATATCGAACGGAATTGTTACTGTTTTAATTGAGATACATGTATGAGTTTGGAGGTTTGCCTTAAGTCAAAGTGGTATCTTCGCAGGCTTGCAGCTCTCTCACTAGAATTCGACATCGTATATTTTTATTGTAGGGTTAATTTGGTTATTGGGTCGGACGTTGTCAGCCCGAAAGATGATTAAAAAACAAGAAAAATGTACGGATTTGAAGCCGGACATATATTAAAATATCGTGAAATTTTTCAAATTTAGATATTATAGAAGTTTTTTTGGTCTAACGGCTAACCAATAGTTCATTAATCTCTTATGTTATATTTGAGGTTCAATTTTAAGTAAATACGATTTATACAAACTAATAGAGTTATGTTATCAAAGATGTCCGGCGTGATGCAACTTGAACCGTTTGTTATGGTCTTGTGTATTAAAGCTGGCCATTGTGCCGGTCGTGAAAATTTGGAGGCCTAAGGCAAAAAAAAATAAAATAAAGTTTTGGTTTTTTAGGTAGATTTAAAAAAATGAGAGCAATTATTAAGATTTAGAAAAATTCGGGAGTCTTTTTGTTTGCAAAAACCAGAAATTGAGGGTTTTTTTGCAATGTTTAAAAAAAAAAAATTTAGGGGCCGTAGGTCCAAGCCTCATAGGCCTAGGGCAGGGCCGGCACAATTTGTGACTA